ATCATGGGCAGATAATAAGGTTCTAAACTAAATGTAAAGGGGCAGCCATACTTGGTTATCTACTTTAAAGTGTGAATAAGTTTCTGTATGATTAAATTGGAAGAGGATCCTGCCTCGCCATTGGCCAGAGGGGATATTTGCCATGCCCTCAAAAGGGCAAGTTCATCACTCTGCAGTGATTCCAAGGTGGAGGGAATATAGGGCAGATAGGAAAAGTTTTGTGAAATGTGACCTATACTGTTGCTGTTGTTGTTGTTTGCCCCTCATTCTCAAAGAGGACCAATGACATCATGAGGGTGATGTCTTTCTTGATTTGCTCGTGAATTGGATTTAAGTGAGGCAGGGTTGAGTAAAGTCACCAGCCTCACTCTCCTCCAGAGCCACCAGAGTCCAGCAGCAAGACAAAAGTCAACACCACTGGCAATGGCCCAGGATGCAGTGGGTGACCTTGGCCTACAAAATTAAGGTCTTTCTCAGGCCTCAATTTGTCTGAGGTAACACCCATTCAATCACTAATGGCTAGGTAAGAATTGAGACAAAAGATGGCACCCATACTAAAGTGTATCTGGGAAGGTTGGGCAGCATTTTCTCTCTTCCATTCCTCACCCACATTCCACAGGCAGAAGTTACTGCTTCATGGACAACATTTTGTACCAAGAGAAGGTATATATAAGGCCATCTGGCACCCAGAAGGGGATGGGTCATGGTCCAGAGATAAGATGGCACAGCTAATAAGTACAAAAACAATCACGAGAATGACAGAAGGTAGAATTCGACTGCACTATTGGGTACACAATGTAATTTCTAACATAGAGCCCTGCTTCTATCCAATATTACTTCCTTCACAAACAGATATTTCCAAGAATGAGGCATAACAAAAAGAGATAGAGAGAGACAGTGGGACAAGATCTATAAAAGAATATACAAATTGGTTAGGTGAGGAAGCTCAAACCTAATATTTCAGAAGCTTTAAGTCCATGAGGAGTGCAGAGATATTAAAGGAACAAATAAAGGTATAGACCATGAATCAGAGGATGAAATTTCAGAATAAATTGGAAGGAAAGAGAATTGATGAAAAGAATAAAACAAAGAAAAACTACTTGGAAAAAAGAGCACAGAAAAGTGGGAGGCAACTTGAATAATGATACCAATACCACTGTCATGTTGAGTTTTAGGTTCCAAAGGGATAATCAAGTAGAGAAGTACTAGAGATAGTTGGAGATGCAAGACCAGAGTAAAAAGGGATGGGAGCAAGAAGACAGTGGTCAGAAGTGAAGATGACAATTTAAGAATTACCTGGTCTCTACTACTGTCAGTGGTATTAATATCATCATTCATACTGCTATGAGACCTTGGTTATGTTCTACTTCTTCTTTCTCACTTTTCATATCTAATTAGTTATTTTTTAATCTTTAAAAAATTTATTTACTTATTTTAAACTTTTTTGTTTGTGGAGGCAGTGAGGGTTAGGTGACTTGCCCAGGGTCACACAGCTAGTAAGTGTCTGAGGCTGGATTTGAACCCAGGTCTTCCGGATTCCAGGACTGATACTCTATCCACTAAGCCACTAGCTGACCCTTTAACATTTATTTTTAAAAATATTTGTGTTCTAAATTCTATCCCTTCCTCCAGGCCCTCCTTATCCATTGAGAAGGCAAGCAATCATATTTAATTCGTTACTAAATATCATTGACACTGAAGCTATGTATTCAGTTTATCTATCCTTTCCCAGATATTCCCTTAGCTTTCCCACATAGTAGTTATGTGAACCTAGACAGATCTCGATCTTTTTGGGCTTTAGTTTTCTTATCTGTAAAATGGAGATAATGCCCCCACCCAAACATACTTTTTTGGGAGGCAATTAGGGTTAAGTGGCTTGCCCAAAATACAATTATTTTTTAAAAAAATTATTCTATCCCTAACCTATAGCCCATCATCCCTATATTTTAAACTCTGTCCAAAAAAAAAAAATCTAAATCCATTCTTAGATGCCATTTTCCTAACCAGCTGTTCACTTTCCAAATCTTTTTTGTCTTCTAAATCTCTTGCTTTGTTTGTTAGCAACAATGAAAACACTGCCACAGAGGCAGCATCTTTCAGCAACAAGGATTTGGAATTAGAGGACCCAGGTTCAAATTCTGATTCTATAATTTACTACCTAGTTACTCAATCTCCCCAAGTGTTTGTTTCCTTATTTCTAAGATAAATTGTAATTGATGATCTCTAGGTCCCTTTCAGTTCTAAATCTGATTCTATGAATGTTCACAGGGCTTGGCACATAGTAAGTACTTAATAAATGCATGTCAACTAATTGAATTAATGGGGCTAGATATAGTAGACTAGTTAAGATTGCTGTTCAACTAATGCATTGTTGATATTGAACTGATCCAAACATTTTGGAGAGCAATTTGGAACTATGCCTAAACAGCTATGAAAATGTGCATACCCTTTGACCCAGCAATAGCACTTCTAGGGCTGTATCCCAAAGAGATCATACAAATGGGAAAAGGACCCACATGTACAAAAATATTTATAGCAGCTCTTTCTTTGGTGGTAAAGAATTGGAAATTGAAGGGATGCCCATCAATTGGGGAATGGGTGAATAAGTTGTGGTATATGAACGTAATGGAATACTATTGTGCTATAAGAAATGATGAGCAAGTGGGCTTCAGAAAAACCTGGAAAGACTTGTATGGACTGATGCTGAGTGAAGTGAGCAGAACCAAGAGAATGTTGTACACAGTAACAGCCACACTGTGCGATGGCGAACTTTGATAGACTTGGATCTTCTCAGCAATGCAAGGATCTAAGATATCTCCAAAAGTCTCATGATGGAAAATATTATCCATATCCAGAGAAAGAACTATAGAGTCTGAATGCTATTCGAAGCATACTATTTGCTCTTTATTTCTCTTCTGTTTTGTTTTGTTTCCTGTTTCTTGTGGTTCTTCCTATTGGTTCCAATTCTTCCTTGCAACATGACTAATGTGAAAATATGTTTAACAGGAATGTATATGTATAGCCTGTATCAGATTACACGCCATCTTAGGGAAGGAGGTGGGAAAGGAGGGGGAGAAAAATTTAAAACTCAAAAGCATATGGAAGTGATTGTTGAAAACCAAAAACAAATTAATAAAATTAATTATTAATAAATTAATTTTTAAAAATCAGGAAAAAAAAAGATTGCTGTTCAGTCACACACTAATCAAGGCATCCCAGGCCCTGAGCAGGAGTTTCAAAACTGGGTACATTATCTCCCTTGGGGACTGGAAAAAGGGGTTGTTGTTGTTCATCCCTTTTCTGGAAGAGGACCAATGGCATAATGAGGTTGATGTCTTGACTTGCTTGTGAATTGGATTTAAGTGAGGCAGAGCTACACAAAGTCATGAGCCTCACTCTCTCCTCCAGAGTCATTGGACTCCAATGGCAAGACAAGAGTCAAGATGACTCTTAAGAGGAGAGGAAAGAAAAGGGAAAGGGGGAATGAGAGAACAGGTAAGGGTAGAGCATAGACCCTTTGGGCAACACCCACCTTCAGGACAAGGGAAGGGGGCAAGGAGATCCATTACAGAAGGTAGGGAAAGATAAGTTTAAAGAGGGAGAAAAATTGGGAGTGTATGTGGAATTCTGAGGCCCTGGAAGGAAAAACACCTACCTGGCAAGGGGAACCTGTGGCCTAGAGGCCACATGTGGCCCTCTAGATCCTCAAGTGTTGCCCTATGACTGACTCCAAACTTCACAGAACAAATCCCCTTAATAAAAGGACTTGTCCTTTAAAACTTGGACTCAATCAAAAGGTCACACCCAAGAGCCTTGAGGGCCACATGTGGCCTTGAGGCCACAGGTTCTCCCCCCTCCTCCACCCCTATAGCCCCTTCTCCGTCTCATCAAGACACCTAGGTAGGCATGCTTGGCTTGCAGAGTGCTTCATCTCTGCCTTTCTGCCCTCCTCAGCCTTGCCTTTTGTGAGGAGAAGGAGCAGGAGAAGCAGGAATGCAATCACGGCCATCTAGAGGAAACTTGTCAAGCCATAGGACACCTTAACAGTTGGGGTGGGGAACCTTCGGCCTTGAGGCCACATGTGGCCCTCTAGGTCCTCAAGTGCAGCCCTTTGACTGAATCCAAACTTCACAGAACAAATCCTCTTATTAAGGGGTCTTAGAGTCTTAGCTTGTCCTTTATTTATTTATTTATTTATTTATTGGTGTTTTAAATCTTATCACATTAAAAATGTTATCAACCTTCAGAGAGAGAATTGATGAACTCTGAATGCAAATTGAAGCATTTTTCCCCCATTTTCTTTTTTTTCTTGCTCCCTCCCCGCCTTGCCTCGGCAAAGCTAATACGGAAATTTTTTAATGGAAAATGTTTTGAGTGACTTCAAATATATAATGAGTATCATAATGCTTGTCTTCTCAATGGATAAGGGAGGATCTGGAAAGGGGGACTTTGGAACTCAAAATTTAAAAATGAATTTGAAAAATAAAAAAATTAAAAAATAAAAATAAATTTCATCACACATATATCCTGTCCTCGTTTTTCATGTTTTAGATCTTATCACACACACACACCCTTTCTCCTTGTTTTTGTTTTAAATCTCATCACATAAAAAACGTTCTCCACTTTCAGAGAGAGAACTGATGAACTTTGGGCGCAGGCTGAAGCTTTTCTTCCCCACTTTATTTTTCTTGCCTCTACCGGGCTCGCCAGCTCACTTGCTCCCACAAGGATTTCTCATTCCCTACAACAGCATCTCTATGACCCGAGGACCTTCCTCTCTAGCCCGCCGCGCCTTCTCTATGGTCACGCCCAGGCCCCGCCTCCCAGCCTAGCCCCGCCCCAGGCCCCGCCCCCGCCCTGCCAGTCCCTTCCCTGTGCCCGGCTCCTCTCCTCTCCCCTCCCCCTTCCCGCCCTGTCCCGGGAGCTGGTTGCGCGTGCTCCGAGAGGAGGCCGGGACTCTGTCCCAGGAGGAACGGGCGCTCCGCCGCTACGCTGGCTTCATGACGCCCCCGGGGGCAGTGCGGGGCAACGCCGGCCCGGCCGCACGGTGAGCTAAGCCCCCTCCCCTCGGGGGCATCGGGGAGTGCGGGGCACGGAGGAGGGGCGGCTCCGGGGTGCGGGGGGGTTGGAAGTGAGAAGGGCTCTGCTAAATGGGGGAGAGATGGAAGCCCGGGAGACCCCGGCAGCTGAAGAGACCTCAGGCCCTTCATTTTACAGATGAGGAAACTGAGGCTCGGGGAGTTGGGGAACTTAACCAAGGTCATACATAATAACACTTCCCTATCAGTGAGTCCAGCCCTATACAGTGATCTCTTTTGATCCTGGAAACATCCCCGGGAGGGAGGCGCTATTGTTGTCCCCATTTTATGGATGGGGACACTGACGCACAGAGAGGTTAAATAGATGGCTGCCAGGGTCACACAGCTAGGAAGTGTCCGAGGTAGAATTCGAACTCAGTAGCCCCTGACTCAAAGTCCAACACTCTGCCCACTGCACCATCCAGTTACCCATACAGTGGTTAAAAGTGCAGAGCTGACACTTGAACCCAAGTGCAAGCAGTATTCTTTCCAATGTTCTTAGACGGAGGTCAACTTCCAGCAAAACATCGAAGAATGCTCCAGGCATAGTGTTCAGGATTAACTGAGCATTGCTTTAAAAAAAAAAAAAAAACCTTTGCTTAAATTTAAAAAAAAAAACACCTCTTAATTACTTTAATGAGCTTATTAAAAGTTATGAAAATCCTTAAGTACCCCAGGGTCATCTATCATCTGAAAAATTTTGATCCTTATAAGGTCCTATAGATAAAGGAGTAAAAAGGAGATTGGACAGTGTCCCCTGACTCCAGGATCTTCCTTAAATTATTATCATCATTCAAAAATAAATTCCATGACATGAGATTGCCTTCTTGTGACTGGCGTAATAGGAGAGAACTGAGAAAAAATTTGGGTTCGTTGAAGGGGAATCTTAGATATCTTTATTTAACACCGCTTGGGCTGTGCAAAAGCTTATCCATTCACAGAGTGCCAACGATCTGCCAGGCACTCTTAGGGCCCAGGGAAAATAAATCAGTCCTTGAGGAGCTAACTTTTTAATAAAGGAGTACCCCATACTTAGGAGAACAGCGACCAGGGAAGGGGAGTTTTGATCTAGGTCAGGGGTTCTTGACATTTTTTATGCCCTAGCACCTCTTGGGCAGTATATTGAAGTCTATTAGTGCCCCTTCTCAGAGTAATATTTTTGGCGGGGGGGGGGGGGAGGGGTTGTTTGAATTTGTTTTTGGAGATGATTGGGGTTAAGTGACTTGCCCAGGATCACATAGCTAATAAGTATCTGAGTTTGGATTTGGACTCAGGTCTTCCTGACTCCAGGCCCAGTGCTCTATTCATTGCTCCTAGCTACCTCAGAATAATGTGTTTAAATGCATAAATTAAAATGACAAAATTACATAAGATTAGAAAGGAAATCATTATGTTGAAATACATGTATTAAAATAGGTTTTTTTTGTTGTTTGGCTTTTTTTGCTGAGGCAGTTGGGGTTAAGTGACTTGCCCAGAGTCACACAGCTAATAAGTGTCAGGTGTCTGAGGCCGGATTTGAACTCAGGTCCTCCTGACTCCAAGGCCGGGGCTCTATCCACTGTGCCACCTAGCTGCCCCTAAATAGTTTAAAGTCCTCAGATCTGAGGTTAAGATGTAAGCAATCACTAGTCAGATCCTAGATCAGATTCTAGTCTGATTCAGGAACTGTGAGTGCTAGTAGGGTACCCATTTATTATGTGTACCTTCATGCACTGGATATACAAAGCCCAAAATGAAACAGTTTCTGCCTTCAAGGAACTTATATTCTACTAGGGAAGGGGAGGAAGGGAATAAGCCTTTATGTAATGCCTACTGTGTACCAGGCACTAGAACAATATTAACTCAGTTGATCCTCACAATAACCCCACAAGTTTAGGGTAGTAGATTGTCTAACTCAGGGGTGGGGAACCTGTGGCCTCATTATTTGGATTCTGTCAAAAGGCCACATTAAGGATCTAGAAGGCCACATGTGGCCTCAAGGCCGTAGGTTACCCACCCCTGGTCTAGTTAACCCCTTTCAATTATCATTGTTCCCTATGCTAGAATAAGAATTGGAAAGGAAGGGATCTGGGGGAAGGCTCTCTCAGCCAGGACAGAGCAGATATCGAAATACCCTTGGAATCCTGATGCATGAGATCTGTCAAGCCCCGCCATCAGATAGCTTATGGTGTAGTTTTTTGGGAATGTGTAGACACACAAAAAAATTCCTTAAGATAAGGAATGTCACAAGGCAATGTATGATTAGAAGCAGCCTGGTATGTAGTGAGACGAGCTCTAGACTTGGAGCCTTAGATACGTTACTTATTTGACCTGTGACACCAAATAGTCAAATAACTTCTTATTATTATCATATGTACCAGAGGTATAATATAAGTCATGAGTTCATAGGAGTAATCAGTATTTTGTTATATCAAGTACAATGTTTATGTATGTCCTGAAGCAGATTTTTAAACCCTAAAATTCAATTCAGCCCACATTTTTTATGAACCTACTATGTACCTTCATGCACTGGATAGCCCAAAATGAAACAGTTCCTGCCCTCAAGGAATTTATATTCTTCTAGGGAAGGGAAGGAAGGGAATAAGCCTTTATATAATGCCTACTGTGTGCCAGGCACTAGAACAGTATTAACTCAGTTGATCCTCACAATAACCCAGCAAGGTGCTATTATCCCCATTTTACAGTTAAGGAAACTGAGGCAGAAAGAAATTAAGTGACTTGCCCAGAGTTACAGAGCTGGTAAGCGACTAAGGTCACATTTGAACTCGAGTCTTTCTGAGTTCCTTCCTGCAGGCCTGGCACTCTATCCTCTGCACCATCTAGCTGCCCCTATATACAGAAATTCCTTTTACAGGCCCCAAAATGATTTCACTTCAGTGGATTTATTATAACATCTATGTATACTCCCTCCGCTGGTATGGATTCCATACCATCTATGCCTTCTCATGAACTTGGAATCAGGAAGATCTGTTTTCAAATTCTTTCTCTGTCACCAGAAATGTGACCATGGGCAAAGCAGGGAACTTTTTGAATTTGTTTCTTCCTTTGTAAAATGGGGATGAGAATACCTGTATCACCTAGCTCACAGGTGTGTTGTGAGGATCAAATGAAATGTGTGTAAAATGCTTTGCAAACTTTAAAAAGACACATTAATGCCAGCTGTTATGAATATATGTGTATATATGTATGTATATTTTTAATTGGTGTAAGGAACTTGATGAGGAAACTCCTTCTACCAATGCAGATTAATAATTTGTAGTACTTTATAATTTTTGGTTTATAGTTTTAGCTTCCTGGGACCCTGAGAGGTTAAACAAATTGCCCTCAATCATAGCACCAATAAGTCTCAGAGGCAGGACCATAGATCTGGAAGGAACCTCTGAGTGCATATAATCCAGCCCAGGTGTTCCTTACCCTAAGGTCAGCTCCTTATCCACTATACCTGTCTTCCTCTCCTTATTAATATGATTCCTGTTATTATTCTTGTCTGTATTCTCCCATTATTTCCCCATAAAGGATCAACCCAGGCCACTGGAGCCCCCTGGGTACTACTGCATCTGTAGTGATCATCTCCCAAATGTTGCACATCCTTCACCTCCCCATAGAGCATAAAAAAACCTTATAAACATCACAGTGCTTTGCGGCAAATAAGCATTTAATAACTGTTCTCTCTCTCTCTTACACACACACTCTCTTTCTCTCTCTGTTTCTCTCTCTCCTCGCTTCCTTTCTTCCTCCTTCCTTCCCTCCCTCCCTCTCTCTTCCTTTCCTCCCTTCCTCTCTTATTCTTTCCTTCCTTCCTTTCTTCCCTCCCTCCCTCTCTCCCTCTTCCTTTTCCTTTCCATTCTCTCTAATTTTTCTCCCTCCCTCTCTTTCATTCTTCCTTTCTCCTTTTCTTTCTTCCTACCTCCCTCTCTCCCTCTTCTTTCCTTTCTTCCTTTCTTTTTTCCTCTCATTCTTTCCCTTTTCTTTCTTCCTTTCTTCTTCCTTTCCTCCTTCCTTCCTTCCTTCCTTCCTTTCTTTCTTTCTTTCTTTTCTTCCTTCCTTCCTTCCTTCTTTCCTTCCTTCCTTCCTTCCTTCCTTCCTTCCTTCTTTTCTCTTTCTTTCTCTGCCACCAGATTCAGCATTGTACCGACTTGTACCGTACCAAACTGGAGCCCTCAAACTAGATCGGCAATTAATGCCTCTAAAAAACAAGAGCAGCCCCCTGTCTCCTCCTGGGACTGAGAACTCCAGTTTGCGACTTGGAAGGGATAGTCAGATAACCTGGACTGTCACCAGCGAGTTTGAGAATGATGATTTTCAGGGTGTACCAAGGACTTGTCAGGTTGAAAGTGTTGACTAAAATGGATTACTTGGGAGTTTTGGTTGTCTCTGTTAATCCTTACTCTGCCTTCCCCAACTCTAAACTGGAGATATAAGTATAAATATAGTATATAATATAACATAATATAAACGAGAACAAACAAGGGGAAGGCAGGAATGGACCAAGGCCAGTTAGATAGTTAGCAAAGCAGGGACCCACCTGTTTGCCGTGTCTGGTCTCTGCTTCCTAAACCCCCGAATGCTTTTGAAAGGAAGGAGAGATTTGGGCCATAGAATAGCAGAGCACACAGTAATAATAGCTAGCATTTATATAGTACCTGCTGTGTATCAGGCACTGTGCTAAGTGCTTTGCAAATATTTTCTTTTTGTTTTGTTTTGTTTTGTTTTATTAATTTATTTTGATTTATCAACAATCACTTCTGTGTGCTTTTGAGTTTAAAATTTTTCTCCCCCTTCCTCCCCATCACCCTCCCCAAGACAGCACACAATCTGATATAGGTTATACATATACTTTCCTATTAAACATATTTTCACATTATTGATGTTGTAAATACGAATTAGAACCAATAGGAGGAACCACCAGAAAGAGGAAACAAAACTCAACAGAAGAGAGAAAAAAATAGCAAATAGTATGCTTTGATCTGCATTCAAACTCCATAGTTCTTTCTTTGGTTGTGGATAGCATTTTCCATCACGAGGCCTTTGGAGATGTCTTAGATCCTTGTATTGTTGAGAAGGGTTAAGTTTATCAATATTAGTCATTGTACAATGTGGCTGTTACTGTGTACAACATTCTCCTGGTTTTGCTCACTTCACTCAGCATCAGAACATACAAGTCTTTCCAGGTTTTTGTGAAGTCAGCCTGTTCATCATTTCTTATAGCACAGTAGCATTCCATCACATTCATATACCACAACTTGTTCAGCCATTCCCCAATTGATGGGCATCCCCTCAATTTCCAATTCTTTGCCACCACAAAAAGAGCTGCTATAAATATTTTTGTACATGTGGGTCCTTTTCCCATTTGTATGATCTCTTTGGGATACAGCCCTAGAAGCAGTATTGCTGGGTCAAAGGCTATGTACATTTTGATAGCCCTTTGGGCATAGTTCCAAATTGCTCTCCATAATGGTTGGATCATTTCACAACTCCACCAGCAATGCATTAGTGTTTCAGTTTTCCCACATCTTCTCCAACAGCAAATATTTTCTCATTTGAGCCTCACAACCACCTTGGGAGATAGGTACTGTTATTATCCCCATTTTACAGAAAAGGAAACTGAGGCAAACAGGTGTTAAATGACTTGTCCCGGGACCCTCAGCCAGTAAATTGCTTGAGGACAGATTTGAACTCAGGTCTTCCTGACTCTAGGCCCAGCCCTATATTCACTTCTCCACCAGCTGCATGCGTCCTAAACCTTCCAAGTGACAACTTTTGAGATTTGGAGGGAGAAGCACAGCACCTACTCTGGTGGAAGGAAGAAATGTCTCCAGGGAAAAGGGAACGTATGATAGAGATTCAGGGTTTCATATACAACCCCCTCTTTTTTTTAAAAAAAAATCTTCTTTTTGTATCAAAATGTCCACATTTGTTGATGTCTAAAAAAAATAAAATTAAGAAAAAAAGAGAGGGCAGAGGTCAACTGCAGACTTTGGTACTGATAGTCACTGATGCTGAATCAGCAGAGGATTGTTACCAGCAGCGGATGCTGAATCAGCAGAGAATGCAACCTAGGACTGAATCTGCTTCATGCAGTGATTTCATTAGTTTAGCCAGCTCCTAGTTAGGAAGACTTCCTCTTTTGATGTCAGTTGACACCTGTTGTCTGAGAGGCTTAGAGAGATGCTTGGGTCACCCAGCCAGTCCTTGTGTAGAATATGAAGTGGATGGAAAGAAAGAGTTGGAGTGGGGTGAATGAGGAGCATTTGGGAGTGAAAGAGATTAGGAGACTATAGTTGGGCTCTAGGAGGTTGCAGGAGGCGTGTTTAGGCTTTTTTCATTGGGCTTGAACTCGGGGCTTCTTCAGATCACCCCTTCCCAGATTCTTTAGCTCTCATCCTCTTAAAGCAGTTTTTCTGGCTTTTTTTTTTTAACTTTTGTGATTTGTGACCCAGGACAAAAAAAATTAGACCCATGGAAGATAGCCAGGGGCCAGATGATCAATTTCCACTGCTTTCATCAAGGCCTAATATCAAAGGCTATCCTGTCATGAAGGTCACTTGGCAACATAAAGAGCTTCTTTCTGGATTTCAAAGAAAGTGGGTAAGGAATGTGGACAATGAGTAACAAAGGAGGAAACGCAATTTCATGCACAAGTTGGGTCCAGGAAGGACTTATGGTTCCTGTTCTTATTCTCCTCTCTGCTGAACACTGATTTTCATTCTTTTTGTATCAAAATGTCCACATTTGTCGATGTTTAAAAAAAATAAAATTAAGAAAAAGAGACAAGGCAGGGGTCAGCTGCAGACTTTGGTACTGACAGTCACTGATGCTGAATCAGCAGAGAATTGTTCTAGGTCACAATCACAGATTTCAGAGCTTGAAGGGACCTTGGAGGGGCATCATTACAAGAAGGTAAAAAGGAACTCAGACTGTGGCACCTTAATGTGATGAATATTGCTGTGCTGTAAGAAACGGCGTGTCTGATGAATACAGTCAGAGAAGCTCATGAACTGATGCAGAACGAAGGGAGCAAGGAGGGAAGAAAAGAACGTTATTTTTAAAAAAAGAAAAAGAGCTAAGAACAGAAAAATACAGTTTTTGTGACTTTAAAGGCAGCTGTGAGAAACCGCATTACGTAGGAGGTAAAGAACCAGCCTCAAAGTCAGGAAATCCTGGGCTCAGGTCCTGCTTCTGACGCATGCTGCCCGTGTGACTGTGGGTGACAGTCTCTCAGTAATCCAGGCATCTTTCAGCCTCTTAAACTGTAGAACAGGTGCCAGTCTGCCTTGGTAGAGGGCACAGATTTTGTCCATAAATAATTGGTTTTTTTTTACTTGAAAATTGATAGAGGAGAATCTGTAGGTACAGATTTTTATATGGTCCTTACTTTGTTGTGTTTTATATACCTGGAGCAGGTCCTTGGGAGAAGCCTCGAAAGGCGCTGCTGACCTAAGCTTTCATAGGAAGAAAGGTAGCTAGGTAACCCAGTGGAGAGAGTACTGGGCCTAGAATCAGGACAGATTAAGTTCAAATCTGGCCTCAGACGCTTACTGGCTAGTTACCTAACCTCTGCCTGCCTCGGTTTCCTCATCTGTGAAATGGGGATAATAGCAGCACCTCCCTCGAAGGGTTGTTGTAAGGATCAAATGATGTAATAATTGTAAAGCACCTAACACAGTGCCTGGCACATAGTAGGCTCTATATAACTTCCCCTTCTTTTCTCTTTCATTCTAGCCTGATCAACATCAGTAATCCCCTGCATGGGGTCCTGAACATTACAATTTAGACTGACTTTGTCCAGTTTCTCCCTGGGGGGTTTCCAGTCTGCAGGACACTCTAGCTTGCTAACCTAAGTTTTGCGTCTTCCTTCACTTCAGGCCCCGGCTGGACCTACATTTTCTCCGACGCTTCCTAAAGATACAGTCCATCTTGTTTCCCCGTTTTTCATCACAGAATGTCTTGATGTTCCTGACCCTTCTCTGTGTCACCCTGCTAGGTAAGTGAGTTTGTGTAGAGGACAAGGCGCTTCCTGGAGCCCCTCTGTCTCTGTGAACTTCTTTCTTCTCTTATTCAAATAATAATGATATAATAATAATAACTAGTATTGATAGTGCTTTAAGGTTTGTACAACACTATAAATTTTATCTCATCTGATCCTCACAAAAACTCTGAGAGGTGGGTGCTATTATTATCCCCATTTTGCAGATGAAGAAACTGAGGCAGACAGATGTTAAGGGACTTGTCCAGGGTCACACAGCTAGTAAGTGTCTGAGACCATATTTGAACTCAGAAAAATGAGTCTTCCTGACTCCAAGCCTGGCACTCTATCCACTGCACCACCTAGCTATCTTTATGCAGGGTGTCCAAAAAAATCTTTTTTTTTTTTTTTTTTTTTTTTTTTGGCAAGGCAATCGGGCTTAAGTGACTTGCCCAGGGTCACACAGTTAGTGAATATCATGTGTCTGAGGACAAAAAATCTTTTGGGACTAAGACTTTTGGGACACATCTTGGCATTAAAGCTCTTTACAAGCTGACCTCTTTCTATTTTTCTACTTTATTTTATTTTTCTACTTTTTTAACCTATTACTCTTCTTCATGCACTCTGTGGTCTATCTATACTGGTCTGTATATTCTTCATATAAAACTCCATTTCTCATCTTGTTGCTTGTGCCCTATCATCTCCCCTCTTCTCCCCATATCTGGAGGTATTCTCCCTCTTCACATTAGAATCTTAGAATCCTTGGCTTGTTTTAAGACTCAGCTAAAGGGTTAGATCCCAGGAGCAGATAGTGCCTTCTCTCTAAGGCAAGGGTTTTTTGTCCCGGAGTCCATGGACCCCCAAGGTTTCTGTGGATATTGTGAAATTGAACGGGGGAAAAATTACATTTGTATTTTCACTCACCTTTAACTGAAATTTAGCATTTCTTTCAATTATTTTGCTAAACATTTCCCAATTGCATTTAAAAAATTTTTAACACACATTTTAAAAAATTTTGAGTTCCAAATTCTTTCCCTCCTCCCCCCACCCACTTTGAGATGGCAAGCAATTTTGATTTCAGTTATACATGTGAAATCATGTGAAATTTATTTCCATGTTAGCCATGTTGCAAAGGAAAACACAAACAAAATAAAACAATAAAAAAAAAGTTAAAAAAATACATTTCAATCTGCATTCAGAGTTCGTCAATTCTCTCTCTGGAGATGGATAGGATCTCTCATCATGGGTCCTTTGGAATTGTCTTGGATCATTGTCTTGGTCAGAGTAGCTAAGTCTTTCACAGTTGATCACTGCCCCTGTATACGATGATCTCCTGGTTGTGTTCACTTCACTTTGTATGAATTCATATAAGGCTTCTCTGGTTTTTCTGGAACTATCCAGCTTATCATTTTTTTTTTTTTTAATATTTTATGTTTTTCCCCAATTACATGTAAAAACAGTTTTTAACATTTTAAAAAAATTTTGTGATCCAAATTCTTTCCCTTCCTTCCTCCCTCCCATCCCCATCTCTGAGATGGTAAGCAATCTGTATAGGTTATACATGTGCAATCGTGTAAAACATATTTCCATATTAGCCATTTTGTGGAAGAAAACTCAAACCCAAAAAAAGAAAGAAAATGAAAAATAATATACTACAGTCTTCATTTGGACTGGTCATCATTTCTTATAGCACAATAGTATTCTATCACAATGCCACAGTTTGTTCAGTCATTCCCCAATTGATGAGCATCTCCTCGAATTCAATTGCTTTACCACCACAGAAAGAACTGCTATAAATATTTTTGTACAGATAGGTCCTTTTTCCTTTCCTTTGGTCTCTTTGGGATACAGACTTAGTAGTGGCATTGCTGGGTCAGAGAGTGTGCAAAGTTTTATAGCCCTTTGGTCATAGTTCCAAATAGTTTTCCAGAATGGTTGGACCGATTTGCAACTCCACCAGTAATTCGTTATTGTCCCTATTTTTCCACATTCCCTCCAGCATTTGACATTTTTCTTTTCTGTCATGTTAGCCAATCTGATAGGTGTGAGATGGTATTTCAGAATTTTTAAATTTGCATTTCTCTAAATCAGCAGTGATTTAGAGCATTTTTTCATGTAACTGTTGATAGCTTTGATTTCTTCTGAAAACTGCCTATTCATGACCTTTGGCCATTAATCAACTGGGGAATGACGTTTATTTCTATAAATTTGGCTCACTTCCCTGTGTATTTGAGAAATGAGGCCTTTATCAGAGAAACTTGCTGTAAATTTTTCCCCATTTTCTGTTTTCCTTCTAATTTTGACTGCATTAGTTTTGTTTGTGCAAAAGCTTTTTAATTTCATGTAATCAAAATTATCTGTCTTACTTCCCATAATCCCCTCTATCTTTTGTTTAGTAATAAACTTTTCCCTTATAGCTAGATCTGACAGATATATTTTTCTAGGCTCACATAATTTACTTACAATATCATCCTAAAGGATGTCTAAATAATTTATCCATTTTGACTTTATCTTGGCATATGGTGTGAGGTATTGGTCTATGCACAGTTTCTGCCAAATTGCTATCCAGTTTACCTAGCAATTTTTGTCAGATGTTGCATTCTTACCCCAAAAGCCTAGATCTTTGGGTTTATCAAACACTAGATTACTATTGTAATTTGCTACTGTATATTGTATATCTAATCTGTTCCACTGACCCACCGTTCTGTTTCTTAGCCAATATCAGATTGTTTTGATGATTACTGCTTTGTAATACAGTTTGAAATCTGTAACTGCTAGATTAACATTTTTTTCATTGATTCCTTTGATGTTCTTGACTTTTTGTTCTTCCAGATGAATTTTGTTACTATTATTTTTAGCTCTATTCTTTAGTAGTTTGATTGGTGTGGCACTGAATAATTAAATTAATTTAGGTAGAATTGTCATTTTTATTATAGTGGCTCAGCCTACCCATGAGCAATGAATATTTCTCCAGTTGTTTAGGTCTGTTTTTATCTGTGTGAAAAGTATTTTGTAATTGTGTTCATATAATCCCTGAGTTTATCTTGGCAAGTAGACTGTCAAGTAATTTATATTGTCTGCAGTTATTTTAAATGGAATTTCTCTTTTTATCTCTTCATGCTGAGTTGGTAATATGTAGAAATGCTGTTGATTTATGTGGGTTTATTTTATATCCTGCAACTTTGCTGAAGTTGTTCATTGTTTCATCTAGTTTTTTAGTTGATTCTCTAGGGTTCTCTAAGTTTACCATCATATCATCTGCAAAAAGTGATAGTTCTGTTTCCTGATTGCCTATTTTTATTCCCTCAATTTTTTTCTTATCTTATTGCTGTAGTTAGCATTTCTGGTACAATATTGAATAATAGTGGTGATAATGGACATCCTTATTTCACTCTTGATCTTATTAGGAAGGCTTCAAGTTTATCCCCAATATGGATAATGCTTGCTCTTGGTTTTAGATTGATACTACTTATTTTAAGAAAGTTCTATTGATTCCTATTCTTTCTAGTGTTTTCAATAGGAATAGGTGTTGTATTTTGTCAAAAGCTTTTTCTGCATCTCTTCATAAAATCATATAATTTTTGTTGTTATTGTTATTTTTTTGGTCAATTATGCTGATAGTTTTCCTCATATTGAACCAGCCCTGCATGGTCATAGTGTGATCTTTCTGATATATTGCTGTAATTTCCTTGCTAGTATTTTATTTAAATTTTGTTTGTTTGTTTGGTTTTTGCTAGGCAATGGGGTTAAGTGACTTGCCCAGGTTCTCACAGCTAGTAAATGTCAAGTGTCTGAGGTTGGATTTGAACCCAGGTCCTCCTGACTCCAGGGCTGGCGCTCTATCTACTGCGCCACCTAGCTGCCCCATTTAAATTTTTTTGTATCAATATTCAATAAGGAAATTAGTCTGTAGTTTTCTTTCTCTGTTTTTGCCTTCCCTGGTTTGGATATCAAAACCATATTTGTATCATAAAAGGAATTTGGTTGGACTCCTTTACCTGTTTTTTCAAATAGTTTATATAGTATTGGGATTGAGTGTTCCTTAAATGTTTGGTAGAATTCACTTGAGAATCCATCTGGTCCTGGGGATTTTTTCTTAGGGTCAATTATGAATTTTTAAAAAGAAATTATTCTGAGATGGGGCTTCATAGGCTTCTTCACCAGACTCCCTAAGGGTCCATGACACAAAAAAATCCTAAGAACCTCTGCTCTAAGAATACCTTCCATCTACTCTGTATTTATCTTGTGTGTATTAATTTATATGTGTGGACTCCTCCTCTAGAATGCACACTCCTTGAGGGCAGGGTTTGGGTTTGCTCTTTGTTTTTGTTCCCAGCACTTAGCTCAGTGCCTGGCATACAGTTAGCACTTAATAAATACATTTTGGTTGATTGGTTGGTTGATGGGGGCTTGAAGAAGCCAAAGACTTGAAAGGAATCCTTACCTGTGTTGTCTGTTATTTGCATCCCCCATGTGTTTCCTCCTACAGAGCAGCTGGTCATCTACCAGGTGGGGCTAATACCCAGTCAGTACTATGGTGTCCTAGGAAACAAAGATCTGGATGGATTCAAGACCCTGACATGTCTAGCCCTTGTTCTCATCGTGGTCAACTCCACAGTAAGAGGTCCCTTGGTCCTGTTCCTGTTTCCTTCCTCCCTTCCCTCTTTCCTCGTTTCTGCCCTTGTGGTTGGCGCTGGGTGCCCTCGGGATTAAACTGACTAAGGCAGTGAAAAGGAGATGGGGTATGGTTGGGCTTCCTGCTTTTGGGGGGAATGTAGGGTGCTGCTGCCCTGAAGACTGAAAACTGCTGTGCCCCAGGCCAGCTTTTGCCTGAAGAATTGGGTTTTGTTGTAACTCCTCCCTTACTTGATCCTCTTCAGCCAGAGCACAAAGTGGCCAGGTACTTATGATCCTATGGGAGCTTGTAGCTAAGCACACCTTGGTGATATAGGGAATGGAGCTACAGGTCAGGAATCAGGAAGACCTAATTCAGATCCAGCCTCAGACAGTTCTAACTATGTGACTTTGGGCTACTTGCCTCTGTTTGCCTCAGTTTCCTCATCTGTAAAATGGAAATCATAGTAGCACCTACTTCCCAGGGTTGTTGTGAGGATCAAATGAGATAATAATTATAAAGCATTTCGCATACGGTGCTCGGCACACAGTAGGTGCTATATAAATATTAGTGATGATGATAATGATAATGGCTTATTTCAGTGTCAGATAAGAGTAAAGACAGTTATACTATTTATCTTTCACTCTGGGTTGATCAAAACACTTTAAAGCCACAGGCTTCCTTCCTTCCCCCTGCTCACAATATCCCCAGGATGCCGGGAGGGTCCAGGACTGCTTCTCACCATGCTCTAAAAACTAACACAAAGTGATGTATCCCATATTCCAGTGAAAGTCAGCCCATTTCTCTGGTACCTCTTTGGTCATTATGATTCACTGGCCAATAAGCATTTTATTACAGAATATTTCTATTATTCTGAGGCTTCTATTAAGCTGGGGGAGAGGCTGAGGGTGGGAATAGGGGAGAACTCAAAAAGGCATTAGCTAGATAATGATCCCTGTCCTCAATGAACTTAGAGGCACAAGTATATTAAATTTGCTTTTGAACACTTCCAAAACAATCTCTCCCCCTCCCCTAATTGCATTTTTAAAAAATGCATTTTTGAGATTCCATTGATTTAGGGGGACTCCTGATAAGAAAACTTCCTCTCCCAACACATCAGCCCCAGTTGTGCAATTTATGGTCTTAGAGTGTTGCTTGGGGGTACTGAGTGGTTAAGTGATTCATCTGGGGTCGTACAGACAGTATGTCAGAAGGCCTTCCTGACTCTAAGGCTAGCTCTTCAGGTCTATATTTTGTATTCACTTATGTGTGTACTTTATTTTCTCCCCATTAGAATATAAGTTCCTTCAGGAAAGGGATTTTTTCTTCTTTTTTATCTTGGTAGCCCCAGCCCATTGCGTAACTCGATGAGCCACTTGATGTGAAATAGGGGGAAAGTTCCCAGTGGATGTGGAACAAGGAGTGATCCAAGTGGGTTGAGATGAAAACAAGGGAGGCTTCTTGCTAGAGTTGAGGTTTGAATTGCATCTCGGAGGAAATGATCTTTTTCATAATATTAACTCAAAAGAGGTAGTTTTTGTAAAAGTATTTAGTATAGTACCCAGCAAATAGTAGGTGCTTAATAGATGCTTATTCCCTTTCCTTCTCTTCTGCTTCCCTTCACCTGCCTGCAGCTGAAGAGCTTTGACCAGTTTATCTGTAACCTGTTGTATGTGAGCTGGAGGAAGGACCTTACTGAGCACCTTCATTGCCTTTACTTCCGGGGCCGAATCTACTACACCCTCAACGTGATTCGTGATGACATCGATAATCCGTAGGCTCCTCCCACTGTTTCTTACCTGGACTGGTCTCCCCTTTATCCTCTGCCTTTCTGGGTGATTGGTTATTCTCATTGGGATTGGAAGGAAGCCATGTGGCTGTGAGAGTCTAATTACATGCAAGGACGTTTTCTTTCAAAGACCTCTTGCTTGCTACTTTTCAGCCAGGCACTTTGGGGTTCAGATAGGAATTACCACCCAATGCCAGGTGGAGCTCCAAGAGAAAGGTTTTTGGTGGGTGTACTTCCAGTCTCTTTACTTCCTCTTTGTGTTCTTCCCTTTCCTCCTCTGCTCCGTGGATTAACCCGAATTACAAGTTCTGTGATTATATGTGTACTCGTGAGGGACCGAGACATATGGGACACTTCTTTCTTGCCTCAAGTAACCCAACAACCTGTTGGTTGGTAGATATTGCTGCTCCCACGTCTTGTCTCTCAAACTTTGTTAGGACAAACTGAGGCCCCAAAGAAGCAGCTGTCCAGGAGAAGGGCCTTATTTTAAACTCAATGAAAACTCTGAGAATCCTGGGTGTTGGTGGTGTGCCACTTTCAGAAACCAGCCTAAGCTGTACCTGGCTTCCATCTGATCTTTAACTCATTCTCACTAACAGTTCAGGACGAACAGCTAATCAGGATGAGGGATGAGAAATTGGCTTTTCTGTCCTTTGGTCTCCGTGATCTCCCCCCACAAGGTACCCTGGTTCACACTGCTCTCTCTTCTCTCCTTGGATACAGGGACCAGCGCATTAGTCAAGATGTAGAGAGGTTCTGTCGGCAGTTTAGCACCATGGCCAGCAAGCTGATCATCTCGCCTTTCACCATCACCTACTACACGTATCAGTGCTTTCGAAGGTAGACCTTCTGGGGAAGGGTGGCTCTAGTCTTTCCTCAATATTTCTTCTTCTCCAGCCAGTGTTTTCCAAGATGTCCTGCTCCTGTATGTTCAGTGTTTTCCTGTGCCAAGGTCAGGGAATGCTTCTTTCTTGTATTCTTTAAGACCACCCATCCTAGAGTGTTACCTGGCTTTCCTTATTTGGAATTCCAAGTCTCCTTTTTGCCAGAAAACTTAAAATGTGTTAATTTTAGGGTTCCAGTTCCCATAACCCAAGAATTCCCACAGCCCTTGAAAACTAACTGTGCTCTTTTCTGGTGCTGGGGAATGGGAAAAATTCTCCTTACTTGGTATCTGGGCAGCGATATGGCAGTATAACTCTGACTTGCCTCTGGTCCTGGGATACAGAAACAGGGAGCTGACAAGCCTGGAAGGGAGGGAATGACCTATGTTAATTAATATCTTCTTCTTTTAGTTTTCCTTTGAACAAGAAGTATTCTACTTTAAAAATTTTCTTATTGATATCTCTTGGTTTTTACATCACCTTTCTTTCCAAACATATCCCTTCCTTTCTTACTGCCAGCAAGCCATTCCTTGTAACAAAAAAAATTTTAATTCAGCAAAACCAACCAATCCACATGTCAGCAAGTATGACAGTTGTTGAAGTATTCCTAGCCAAAGTCACTCATCTCTGCAAAGAAGGAAGAGGGAGGTTTTCTCAACTTTTTTCCAGGGCCAAGCTTCTTGACCAATACCATTTAATTTAATTTAATTTTTTTGCTTTTTGCTCTTTCAGCACGAGCTGGCTTGGGCCAGTGAGTATCTTTGGTTACTTTGTCTTGGGGACCATAGTGAACAAAGTCCTGATGGGCCCTATTGTTTCAAAGCTGGTGCAACAGGAGAAGCTGGAAGGAGATTTCAGGTGGATGCTCTTTGGTATCTTTCCTCTCCTTTGCCATAAGAAAAGACCCAACATCTCACCCAACCCAGCTTAAGAACATAGTTTTACCCACCCATTCCTGTTTGTCTTTTAGCCCCAGTTTGCAGGCTCTGCTATATGTTTCTCCTTTCTAGTATACCTTTGGGGAACTCATCACTGGTGGAGTAAACAGTTAGCAACACTAACCAACAAATTTTAAAAGTGTGAAATTACATGAAGCAGATAGATGATATGGAGAGTAGAGCACTGGACTTAGCTGCAGACATTTAGTAGCTGTGTGATCCTGGCCAAGTCACTTAGTCACTGTTTGTCTCTTTTTCCTCGCCTGTAAAATAGAGACAGTAATAGCACTTACCTCTCAGGCTTATTTTGAGGATAGAATGAGATAATATTTGTAAAAGTGCTTTGCATACCCTAAAGCACTATATAAATACTAGCTGTTATTCCTTACCCATATTCATACCCCTGCAAAGAAGGTGAGAAAGTACCTTCTCATATTTGTGAGGTGGGGTGTTGGAGGGGCTGTGCGTGGTTATTAAAATTTTGCATTGTTCAGCTTTGGTTAGTTCCCTCCCCTTCTTCCTTCTCCTTTTTGTCCTTCTCCTCTTTTTCCTCTTCCTTTTCCTTTCCCTCCTTTTTCTTCTCCTCCTTTTCCTTTTCTTTCTCTTCCTTTTCTTCTTTGTTCTTTTCTTTCTCCTCCTTCTCTCCTCCTCTTCTTCCTTCTCCTCCTTGTTCTCTTCCTTTTCTTCCTCTTCATCCTCTTCCCTTTCTTTTTCCTGCTTTTTCTTTTCCTCCTCTTCCTTTTCTTTCTCTTCTTTTCTTCCTTCTCCTTTTTTTTCTCTTTGTTCTTCTCTTCCTTTTCTTCCTCTTCCTATTCCTCCTTTTACTTCTCCTTCTCTTCCTTCTCCTCTTCCCCTTCTTCCTCCCTCTCTTTCCTCCCAGTCATGTGTTGCCATTCTACCTTATTTTCCTGGTTCTTACATTCCTTTGCATCACTTCACATAAGTCTTCCTTCAGCATAGCCTTTAACAAACCTGGGCCACCTCCATGCCACAATGTTCAGCACCAGAGTAGAACTTTAATGGATGTTCCCTTCTGTTACTTTTTTTTTTCAATGAGGAACATAAAACAATGCCTTGTAACTCATTTCCCAGTGTTATGAGAATAAAAGTTTAGAGTTACATATGGAGTTACATTTTGGCAGGGAGTTGCTTAGGGCTCTCATCTTGTCTTCCTCTGTGGCTCAGAAAGAAAAATAAACAGTGGACCCAAGAGTAATGACTCACATGTTATCATGAGTCTTGTTCACTGACCTTTGTTTCCTTTGGTTCATCCAGGTTTAAACACGTACAGCTTCGGGTGAATGCTGAGCCAGCAGCTTTCTATAGGTAATACAATGGATAGATTTGTGTTTGCTCCATGCCTATATTCTTTAGGTGCTCGGGGTTGATCTGGGTTGTTTCTTGGCTGATTCCATCCTGCCAGAGTCTCCCTATTTAGGAAACTGAAACAGCCTCATGAGCTGCCTTCGTTCTACTCTGCTATATGTGTTAACCCAATAAAGACCCATTTGGTGCTGCCATTCCATATAGAATGTGAATGAGTGTGACTCTCTCCTGGTTTAGCTAGTGTCTAATGTTGGTTTTGTCAGTAATACTTTGGAAGAGTAGTGCCGTAAGTCATTCTTAATATGGTGGGAGCCGCCTGGTGGCCTGTTTTGGGAGCCAAAAAACTTACATTCCAAGCCATTTTTGTAGTACTCTGAGGAAATAGAAACCACTATTAAGTAATAACTCATAGAACTTCCTGCTCCTTTAAAATAGTTATTTCTAAAAATATTTTTCTTATTAAATTATATGTTTAGAACTGGAAGGGAACTTTAGAGATCCTCTGGTCTAACCCTCTCATTTTAAAGAAAGGGATATGGGACCCCAAAGAATAAAGTAGCAGAGCAAAGATTTGAACCCAGGTTCTCTGATTCCAAATCCAAAGGTCTTTCCACTAAATGAAGCTGCCTCCCAGTTCATGTTGGGCTGCACAGATCTTCAACATACTTAACACTAACTGCGTGGGGAGATCTCTACTTCGGCGGAAGTGTTTTTGATGAAGAACTTGGAGGTGGTCAGTGCAGCTTAGGGGTTGGACTGAGCATTCTGGGGGCTTTCGCCCTAACCACCATTTTGTTGTTGCCCATAAAGCATTACCCTATTGTTTCTGTTTTTCTACCTGTAAGAGGGAGAAAATAAAAATATTGATGATGTGGTAGCTAGCCAGTTGACCCCTGAAATGTACAGCCAGTTACTTGCTTCTGCTACTTTAGAATGTCATGGGTTAGGAGCCCAGTTTATCAGAGACCTGACTCCAGCAAAAATTTCACAAGTTGAACAACAAGGACTCTGTGTGTCTGTGTGTGTGTGTGTCTGTGTGTGTGTGTGTGTGTGTGTGTGTGTGTGTACAGTCTATACTTTTTGGACTCACCATCAAGAGGCAGTACAGTATGATGAATAGAGTGTCTGGAAGACTTGAATTTGAATCCCATATTAGCTGTGTGACCCTCTTTTAGCCTCAGTTTCTTCATCTGTAAAATGGAATTAATAATACTTTCAGTACTTAGTTCACAGGGTTGTTGGGAGGATCAGATGGCGCAGTGTAGGCAAAGTTCCTTCTAAACCTTAAATCCTACATAAATGCCTATTTCTGTTATTAGGAAATCACATCCTTTAAGGTTCCTAAAGGACCAGCCTTGATATCCTGCCTCCTTGACCTGTTTAAATTCCATATGAGGCTCAGGGTCTGCTCTTTGGACTGGGTTACATAAATTATAGAGGTTTATTCCCAAAGAAAAAGGGAGCTATTTTTCCTTACTCTTTGCCTTGTTTGGGCCAGGATTATAGGTCTGTCTAAATGCCCAGGACTCTTATTCTTAAAGTGTTCTCTGTCTTTTTCTTTACTACCTCTTGGGGCCACCAAGAAGTTTAGAAATCTCTTTGAACCATCCCCAGCCCTACATGGTAGAGTTGGCTTTGGTCCAGGCCTGCACTGCCCCTGCTGGTGGTTGGTGGAGAAATAAAGTTTCCAAGCTCCTGGGAAAGATCATTTATTTGGTTCTTCCAGGCCCTCCTGCCACCCCCAGATGCAGGAAAAGAGAAGCTTCCTGTTATTTTTCTCTGATCACCTTTGGTATGGCATTTTGCTGCCACAGTCCAACAAGAAACCTCCCTGCAGGAAGGGCCAATCAGTCAAAAAACATTAAGCACTTACTGTGTGCCGGGCACTATGCTAAGCTGCAAAAGCCCCAGATGCCGAGGTACCTTCTGGTGAACCCGAAGGGTGAAGGAGGATAGAGTAAAGGAGGGAGAAGGCACCAAGTTAAACTGTGAGATTCTTGGAGCCTCAGATAGCCTGAGTAAGGCCTAACTGGGACCCATAATGCATCATAGCTTTGCTTTTTCAGAGCTGGGCACGTGGAACATGCCAGGACAAATTATAGGCTGCAGAAACTCCTGAAGACTCAGAAGGAGCTCATGTCCAAGGAACTTTGGCTTTATAGTAAGTGAAGAGAGCCCTGTTTTCTGGGATACCATAGGCTTCAGGGTACTATCAGACTCAGTGGTGGAAGACACATTACCGGGGTGTTCTATTCCTTCACAATTTTCCTGAAATGCTAAAAAGAGATGGTCGTTTCCTGGGTGGGCTGCTGGCTTCTTGCTTGGGCTCTAGGAGAGTTAGGAGTCAGCTTCTGCCTCTCTGTCCTGGGGGCAGTGGAGTCATTCTCACGAAGTACAGAGATTGGTTATAGTCTTTTTAACCCAGTCTGTAATACGCAGTTGGCATCAACACATTCGACTACTTGGGCAGCATCCTGAGTTATGTGGTTATTGCGATCCCCATCTTTAGTGGCGTCTATGGAGACTTGACCCCGGCAGAGCTAAGTGCTCTGGTTAGCAAGGTGAGCTATTAAGGACCCATAAGAGCCCCCACCCTTGTAGAGGATGTATAGTGATTGGGAGAACATGGTCCCATCCAGAACTTGTCTTTCCTCTTTTTTTCTGGTTTGGCTTTAGGTTATTATGGGACCTGTTGAGGGTGGTCTGTCTGGTGCCCAGAAAGAAAGAAGAGAACCCCAAGCCCAGGAAATTTATGTGTGGAAGGGTTAGGAACTCTATAGAAAGGGAAGGCATGGGCTTTGTGTCATCTCAGGTCATACCTGTGCTAAGACTGCCTGGTATTTCACCAAGACCTTCATGGGATAAGCTCCTTAGTCACAGGACCACCCTGCTGATTTGGCACTCAGTCAGTTAACAGGCATTCATTAAGCACCTACTCTTTGCGGGTATTGTCCCAGAACTGACCAGATTTTTCTCCGTGTCTTCCCCCAGAATGCCTTTGTGTCCATTTATCTCATCAGTTCCTTCAGTCAACTCATTGACCTCTCAACAACCCTCTCTGATGTGGCTGGATATACACACAGGTGAGGCTCAGTTCAGTTTCCCTTTGACTGCGGTCCAGAAAGAAATCAGAAAGCTACAAACTAGGGAAATGTGTGTCTAGAAGGGAGCTGAAAGGCTTGCCCTTCGTGATGCAGGCAACTCCCAGAGTTCCAGTCCCCCATCACCAAGTACCTACCAATGGAGCATTTTAGATTGGATTTCCCACAAGCATCTCAAATTCAGCATGTTCAACATAGAGCCCTTTATCTTATCCCCAAAACCTGCTTCAGTTTCTATTGACACACACTGTCCATCCCCTTGGTTCATAACTCCTGTTATCCTCACACACACTCCTCTTATCCTCACTCTCACTTACCTCACATATCCAGTTAGGTATCGGATCATCTTGTTTATACTTTCCACAACAATTCTCAGATCCATCTTCTTCTCTCCATTCACACAGCCACTACTCTAATCGAGGCCCTCCTGATTGCCTCGCGTCTCCCTCTCCAATCCATTCTCCACATAGATGGCAAAATGACTTTCCAAAGGGAAAGGGTCTGACTCTGTCATTCTTGCTGTTCAGTCGTTTTTCAGTCATGTCTGACTCTTCATGACCCCATTTGGGTTTTCTTGGCAGAAATCCTGGAGTAGTTTACCATTTCCTTCTCCACCTCATTTTATGGATGAGGAAACTGAGGCAAACTTACTCAGGGTCACACAGCTATCTGTCTATCTAACTATATACACATATATACATATATGGATGTACATACACACTATATATAATATATGTGCATGTGTGTGTATGATACATACACACACATATTTCATATGTGTTTGAGTCTATGTGCATGTCTTCCCTGATAGAATATAAGCTCCTTCAGGGCAGCTAAAAGCACTTTTATCTTTGTATGGATGTACAAAGAAAGGTAAGAAACAGAACCCGCTTTCAAAGAACTCATAGTCTAGTGTGGGGGAGCACCATGGAAACAACTGTGTACAAACAGGCTATAAATAGGGTAATTTGGAAATACTCAATAGAGGAAAGGTAGGATTAGGAAAGGCTTCTTACCAAAAAGGCAGGATTTTAGCCCAGACTTGAGGGAAGCCAAGAAATGGAGATGAGCTGGCAGAGAGAGAATTCTAGGCATGGGAGACAGATAGTGAAAATGCCCTGAGTTGGAAGATGAGTATCTTGTATGAGCAACATCAGGAAGCCAGTGTCACTGGATTGCAAAGAATGTGCAGAAGAGGAAGGTCTAAGAAGCCTGGAAGGGTAGGAAGAGGTCAGGTAATAACCTAGACTTTAAAGGCCCAAAAGAAGGTTTTGTATTTGTTCCTGGAGAGAAATAATCACTGGAATTTATTGAATGGGGTAGGGGCGATGTGGTCAGACCTGCGTTTTAGGAAGATCAATTTGACAGCTGTGTGGAGGATGAACTGAAGTGGAGAGACTTAGGCCAAGAAGACCAACCAGTAGGCTGTTTTAATAGTCTAGGTATGAAATAATGAGAGAATCAGGGTAGTGGCAATATCAAAGGAGAGAAGGAGATATATACAAGAAATGGAGTCCACAGGCCTTGGCAACAGGTTAAATGTGGGGGTAAGAGAGTCGAGGAATCAAGGATGGTACCAGTGTTGAGAGCCTGGGTGACCGGGAGGGTGGTTTTCCCCTATAGTAATAGGGGACTTAGGAAGAGGGAAGGGTTTTGGGGAAAAGATAATGAGCTCAATTTTGAGCATGCTGAGTTTAAAGCATCTACAGAACATCTAGTTTGAGATGTCCAATGAGATGTCGGAAATGCAAGTCGAGGATAGGGCTGGATAAATAGATCTGAGAATCATCTACCTAGAGATGATAATTGTTTCCTCTCTTTTCTAGAATTGGGGAATTGCAAGAGACCCTGTTGGACATGTCTTTAAGGCCTCAAGATTGTGATTCAGAAGACCTGGATGATTGGGATGTTAATGAGTAAGTAATGGCCACGAGCATTTGTCTTATGTTCATGGAGATTTGCCCACAAACATTTAGAAATGGTGTATATGACACTTTAGAGTGACATCCAGGCCACACATTCAGCTGTATCTCAGGTATGGACTTGCTGAAGTTCTGGTCCTCAGGGGGAATTGCCTTCCTCACATTGAAAGTTCACTGTTAATAGCCAAGGTACCTCCGCTACTCCCCAAAGAACTCTTGGGTGCTAACATGGCACACCCCACTGGTTTCTGAGGGAGCCTAACCATCCCCCTCCAGTACTCCCAATAGTGAGATTGGGAAGCCCTTAAAAGAGTGACTGTCTTCAAAACAATGTGGATCAAATGTCAGTAAACAAGGGGCAGTGCCCACAAACCTGCGGCTGCCTCATGGGAGGCTGGTATCATTGTTCCTTTTCTCCCTTCTCCCTGTGTTTGACTTCAGGGCCTCAGGATCCAAGGCAACAGACACAGCCTTTCTCCTGGACCGGGTCTCCATTTCCGTGCCCTTCTCTGACAAGCCTCTGATCAAGGATCTGAGCCTGAGAGTCTGTGAGGGGCAGAGTCTGCTGATCACAGGGAACACGGGCACCGGCAAGACCTCCCTGCTCAGGGTGCTGGCCGGCTTGTGGGAGAGCATGCGCGGTGAGCCCTGAGCCTTTTGTAACTCGAATCTCCGAGTTGAAGGGGGGTTGGCCCTGGGTAACCCATCAGGTAATACTGATGCTAGGGTCCCCAAACCCTTCAACTGAAGGAGACTGGGGGTAGGAGGACAGAATGGATGGGGACAAGGCAGGACAGCAGGTGGTTTTTGTCCTACTTGGAGCAAGAACCTCGAAACTTTGTGACTCATCCTCCTGCTTAATCAGTGCGCAGATTGAGGCCTGGTCTTTTCTTTCGGTCCAGAAGTGGTGATAGGGGTGTCTCCTTTGGGCCCTGACAGGTACTGTGCAGATGCTGACGTGCTTCGGTCCTCATGGAGTGCTGTTTCTGCCGCAGAGACCTTTCTTCACAGATGGGACCTTGCGTGAGCAGGTCGGTGTTGCTGGCCCTCTCCTGTTTCCTACCCCTACCTCATTGGTTGGGGAAGTTGGTGGCCATATCAGAGGGGAGATTCAGACAACAGGAAGTTGGTTGGAGGAGTATTCCCATGGCTCTGCCTTTCAGGTCCCATGGGCTTTTTGGGAAATTTCATTCAATTTACATTTGACACATATTTATTAGGTGTCTACTAAATGTATATCACTATGTTGGGTGCTGAGCGGAATATAAAGTATGATAAAGAATATAAAGTGGAATATAAAGTCCCTGTCCTCAAAGGACTTTCAGTCTGTCCCTTTCTGCCCTGGAGCTAAGGAAAATAACAATAACAATAATAACAATAAATAATAACAAAAATAACACAGATATAATGTTTTAAAGATTGAAAAGTGCTTTAGTATGTCATCTCATTTATGCCGTATAATAGCCTTACGTAGTAAGAGCTACAGGTATTATTATCTCCATTTTTTACAAATAAGGATACAGAGTCAGAGAAATTAAGTGATACGGTTTTACAGGTCGCTAGGTACTGTCAATACTGACTTCAAGGCCAGGACACTGTCCAGTGTGCACCCACAGTTCTTCTGTGATCTTGCCCCTAGATTGATTTGCCCCTGCCCTAGCACATGTGATTTATCCCACTTTTTAAACTATTCATACAATGAATTGGTAAGGCTTTCTGTAAGAAAAGATTTACAAACTCTTGGTGCTATCCTAGAGTAGAATGGACTGCCTTGGGAATAGTGGATCCCCATTCATCTAGAGGTCTTTAATCAAAGGCTGGTTGTCCCCTTGTCATCAATTTAGAGGTTACCTAGTCCAATAGGCTCATTTTACATATGAAGAAACTATGGTCTAAAGTGATTAGATGACTTGCCCAGTGTCCCAGAGGTATTCTGACTTCAAATCCAATGGTTTCTTCCCACTAACCCTCACTGTTGTGATAGAGATTCCTATATATGAGCAGGTAGGTGGTACCTGGATAGAATGTCAGGCTTGGAGTCAGACTCATCTTTCTGATTTCAAATCCAGCCTCATGCTTTTACTAGCTATATGACCATGGGCAAGTCTTTTAATCCTGTTTGCCTCAGTTCCTCATCTGTAAAATGAGCTGGAGAAAGAAATGGCGAACCTCTCCATTATCTTTGCCAAGAAAACCTGAAATGTTATCACAACGAGTTGGACACAGCTGAAAAATGACTGAACAAAAACACCTACCAGTTGAACTTCCCTTCCAATTCTGAGATTGTGTCCACTTTTCCTGGGAACCAGGACTCTCCTCCTATGTGGGTAAAACATGATTTTGCTTTTTCAGGTAATTTATCCTTTGAAAGAAGTCTACCCCGTATCAGGTACGCTGAAGATGACGCATCGCATCGAATCTCCTCCGTCTTTCTTCTCTCTGTGTCCCTCTGTTCTCTGTCTTCTCCATCCTATCTTCTCCTGGTGTCTCACGTTTGTCTTTTGCAATGGAATCACCAGTCAGGGTTTCTGGTTAAAGCTGGGGTTCCTGGCTGCTCTTCCCTGCTTCTTGGCCTCCCCTGAGTCTGACCTGCCCTTCCACGACAGAGGCTCCCACTCACAGGGCATGGAACAGTTATCCGTCTCCTGACTCTCTTACCAACTGATGGCAGTGATGATAATCAGTAATAATAGCTTGCATCTATATAGTGCTTTAAGATTTGCAAAGTACTTTACATAGCTTCCACATTCAGGCCAGTGCAGGATTTCTGCCTTACTGAGAGTCCCAATCTGTCTTGAGTCCTAAGTAGACCTTTACTCTTCCAAGTCTGCCCAGCACAAGCTTAGAGAATAGCTATTAATAATAGCTAGCATTTATAAAACACTTTAAGGTTTGCAAGACGATTTACATATATTATCTCATCTGATCCTCACAACAATTTTTGAGGTAGTTGCTATCATTATCCCCATTCTACAGGTGAGGATGGGCAGCTAGGTGGTACCATAATGCACAGAGCACTTGGCCTGGAGTCAGGAAGGAAGATTCATCTCCCTGAGTTCAAATCAGACCTCAGACACTTACTAGCTGTGTGACACTGGGCAAGTCACTTCACCATGTTGACCTCAGTTTCCTCATCTGTAAAATGAGCTGGAGAAGGAAATGGCAAACCTCTCCAGTATCTTTGCCAAGAAAACCCCAAATGGGGTCACAAAGAGTAGGATATGACTAAACAACAACATGGGAGGAAACTGAGGGCTGGAGAAGTAGAGTAACTTGTCCTGGGTCACACAACTAGTGAGTATCTGAGGCTAGATTCAAACTCAGGTCTTCCCAACTACAAGTCTAGTTCTTTATTCACTCTGTCGCCATTGTTCAGTCATTTTTCAGTCATGTCTGACTCTTTGTGACCCCATTTGGGGTTTTCTTGGCAAAGATACTGGAGAGGTTTGCCATTTCCTTCTCCAGCTTATTTTACAGATGAGGAAACTGAGGTCAACAGGGTGAAGTGACTTGCCCAGGGTCACACAGCTGACAAGTGTCTTGAGGTTGGATTTGAACTGAGGAAGATGAGTCTTTCAGACTCCAGGCCTGGCACTCTGTGCACTATGGCACCACCTGGCTGCCCTACTCTGTCACTTAGTTGTCTGTAACTTGAGGGGAAATCTGTTTTCTAGGTTCTGCTGATGACGAAAGAATCATGAGGTTCTTGGAATTAGCTGGCCTGGTGAGTCACTCCAGGAGTTCCCATGAGAGGCAGCTCCAGGTCATTTTGTCTTCCCTGAGAAGACCCAGAACAACAGAAGTGATAATAATAGCTAGCATTTACATAGGTTCTGAAGGTTTGCAAGGTGCATTATGTATCTTATCTCATTTATCCTTACAACCCTGTGAAGTAGGTGTTGTTATCATCTCCATTTTGCAGATGAGGAAACTGGGGCAGAGGGAAGTTAAGTGACTTGCCCAGGGTCACACAGCTAGCAAATGTCTGAGGCCAGATTTAAACACAGGTCTTCCTGAATCCAGGTCCAGATCTGTCCACTGCCATCCAGATGCCTCTCACTGAATAGTGTCTGCTTTGCAGAGTATTGCTTCTGGGCACCAGAGCCATTGGAGCCGAACCCTCCTGCCTTTACAACGTGACTGGTAGTGTTCTGTATGTCTGCTGTGAAAGGCAGGGATCCAGGCAGATGAGATTTCCAGGTGCACATCTGTTTCTGGAGGGGAAATTAGAAATGAGAATGCCGATAGGATAGGTGATAGTTAATGGTGGACTCATTTAGTCAGTCATCAGGAATTTATTAAGCACTTACTGTATGCCAGGTGCTAAGCGCTGTTCACTGACATCTTCCCATCTCTGTGTGTTTCAGTCGAGTCTAGTGGCAAGGACAGGGGGACTGGACCAGCAGGTGGACTGGAACTGGTAAGGATGGATTTTTAAAAAAAGCCTACTTCCTTTACAAACATGAGTCATTGTCACAGGCGCCAGCTCTGAGGAGTTTCCTAATTACAGAACATCTAGAGTGGTAAATGTTCCTGGACTCTGCCAAATTAGGATGGGCAATTGCCTTCAGGCTATTAACTGCTATGAAGGCCTACACAGCATGATATTTCCCCAAACAATGTAATTTTGCAATAAAATTGCATATACATTATAGTGACACATCACCTTAATGTCATGAGATCCCTCTCTCATCATTTGGCTGATTGACCATTTACAACATCATTCCCATGAAAATAAGTACCCAGGAGCATCCACCTCTCATCTAACTTCAGGTTTTTTGGAACTAGTTTTTAGCATTAGGACGGATGTGCCTGGAATTGCTGGGTCTACTGAGGTGGGGAAATAGGCTGTTTCCTCAAAGTGCCACCACTAGGGCAGTCTCTGAAGCCATCTCTTGGATGCCTATAACAAAGAGAAGAAAGTGTTTGGTTTTTCCCCTTTAGCCCTGTCTGCCATGTTTCTGCTCCCCAGGTATGATGTTTTGTCTCCAGGAGAGATGCAAAGACTCTCTTTTGCCCGGCTCTTCTATTTGCAACCTAAATACGCAGGTAAGGAATAACCCACAGTAGAAGTGGTGTCAGATTGTGTAGTTGTGTCTGTTTGTGTGTGTGTTCAGGTATGATACATGTCCTGTGGTAGGAAACAGTGTTTCTCCTTATTTCTCTCACCTGCAAAGGAGGAGAAGTAACACCCAAGGCCCTTTCTAGGCTTTGGCCCATGTGCTAGTATTTAGTTTTCTTAGAGGAGCTCAGAATATTTTTTAACAGTTTATAAATTCAGTCTTGTCATCTTTGTACTGTCTGTGACAGCTGGAGCCATTGGGGGGGGGGTGTCAAACCCTCAAAGTGGATAAGGGTTTTCGTTTCAGGCTGCTGCATCCAAGGAGGGCAGCTGGGCATGCCCAGTGGGACAATGTAAAGGGTATGACAAATGGGGAATTTTAGCATCATAGAATTTTAAAACTGGAAGAGAAGCCTTAGAAAAATCATGGGGTCAGACCCTCACATTTTATGGATGAGGAAGCTGTCAAAAGAGAGATAAAAGGGCTTATCTAAGGTCATAAGTGCCAGGTGGTGGCATAATCAGAATCCTTTGGCATGGGATAACTTCCCTGGGGGTAGTAGTACCTATTATTGGATTGTGGTGTTCCAGTGCGGTGACCTTGAAGGCTCTTAAGAGGCCTTCAAAGTATAATATAGTCTTGTAACTGGCTAAAGGATGCCTAGAAACAGCCCTGACTCCCAGCCTTTTGTCACTGACTTCAGCCTATATTAACATTTCTACTTCTTTTTATCATCAAACACAAATACCCAATATTTTTTTGTTTACAGTTTGTTTTTATTTTTAAATTATTAATTATTGTATTTATCATTTCATTATTTATTGTGTGTATTATATAATGTAGTATATATAAACATAAGATATTGTTATTTATTTAATGCTATAATGTAATATATTATTACTTCCCTATTAACTCTATAGTATAATATATTATAATTCATTTATTAACTCTAAAGATGAGTATTCAGCTTTACCCTTTCCACAAGATGCTGCGTCCTGGGATAGGTGATGCAGTGAATGCGTTAGTCTTGGAGTTGAGAGAGATTGAACTAAAGGTTCCATTGACACTCCCCCAGTGAAGCTGGCCTCTCAGCTTCCCTTATTCTAAACCTGTTTCCTCCTGGAATTATTATACTCCTTTCTACCTGAAACAGGACTGGCCAAACATCACTTGACCCTGGATGCTTGAGGTCAGATGACATCAATCAATCAGTGATAAGGGAACTGGGAAGTAGGGAAGAAATCCAGAGAGGAGCCGTGTTCTTCATTAACACATGACGCAGATAATCCTACTATTTCTTCATATAATATAATTCTTATATTATCGTCATTATATATGATATTATATGTCATATAGTATAATTCTTATATCATTTACCTCATGGGGTTGTTTTGAGGAAAGTGAGTTTTTTTAAAAATGTATTGCTGTCTTGCTTTTTTATATTATATATTAAATATATGGAATATACTTATATATTCCCTATAATTATTTTATAGCAATACGTAATGTTATCTAGAAATGTTTATTATATAAACATTTATATATTTTGATTCTATATAGATATTTAGATAAATATATGGTATATTGTATATTAAATATGTTTATATTCTGTATAAATGCAAATAAATATATTCCATATAAATATATTATATATTATATATGACATTTACTATAATGTATTTACAAAAATTTAATATATTTAAATGTAAACATACATATAATTTAATATTTATAATATATAAGATATTAAAAAACATAAATATATCCCTCCTCCCCTTCCCTACCCAGTGAGCCATCCCTTGTACCATTAATAAGAAAGACAAAAAAAGTAGTTCAGCAAATCTAGCCCTTCAGCTGAGTCTGATAGTATATACAGTGTCTACATACCCATAGTCCCCTACCTTGGCAAAGAAGGGAGGGGAGGACATTTATCTTTTCTTATATAGAGCTAAACTTTGGTCATTATAATCAAACAGAATTTCAGTTGCCTTTTTTTTTGTTCTTTCCATTTGCTTTTTGTAGTTGTTTTGTATTTTGTTGTCCAGGTCTTGCTTACGATAGCTGGATAGCTCAGTGGAAAGAATGCTGAGCTTGAGTCAGGAAGACCAGAGTTCAAATTCTGTCTCAGACACTGACTAGCTGTGTGACCCTGGGCAAGTCACTTAACCCCAATTGCCTCATCCAAAAAAAAAAAAAAGAAAGAAAAAGAAGATGAAATGAGAGAATACTTGTAAATTGTTTTGTGAATCTTAAAGCAATATATAAATGATAGCTGTGATCATTAGCAGATGGAGCACTTGACCCGAAGTCAGGAGGACTCAAGTTAAAGTTCTATCTCAGACACTTGCTAGCTGTGTGATCCTGGGGAAGTTACTAAACCTCTGCCTGCCTCAGTTTCATCATTTTCAAAATAGGGATTGTTACGAGGATCAAATGAGAATATTTGCAAAGCCATGTGGCAAAAGAAAACACGCCTTAAGTCTCTTCAGTCCTACAGGGATGAGTTATTGTTACTGTTAGAAAATTGAGCTGCCGCCCATTCAGGGAGAAGTTTCCCTGTTATGTAAAGCAGCTCGTGGCTTCTGCGCACCTTAAAGCAATTAACTAATGTAATTACTTAATGATGTTGTTGTTGTTGTTGTTAGTGCTAGCTGTTATTGCCTACCTTTGACATGGATAGTGTAGGAAGAAAACATGCTGAGAAGAGCGAAGTCTGTCATGGTTGTTGATCGCACAAAGCTGCTGTTACTGTGTACAATGTTCTCCTGGTGCTTACTCTGTGCTGAGCGCTTTTCACATGTGATTTCATTTGACCATCACAACAACCCTCTGAGGTTGATGCTGTTATTATCCCTATTTTGCAGTAGAGGAAACTGAGGCAATCAGAGGCGAAGTGACTTGTCCAGGGTCACACCACTAGTAAGTGATTGACTTTGGAGTTGAACTCAGGTCTTCCTGACTGCAGGAGCAGGGCTCTATCTACGGCACCACTTAATCTTTGGTGTAAGAGGAGAATTGTAGTCTTGAATTCTTGATTTCTTCCCGTTTCTCCTCAGTTTTGGATGAAGCCACAAGTGCTCTGACCGAAGAGGTGGAGAGCGAGCTGTACCGAATCTGCCAGCAACTGGGCATGACACTCATCAGCGTGGGCCATCGACAAAGCCTAGCAAAGGTGAGGGGTCAGGCTCCTCTGTAGCTGGGGCTTGTGCTGACCAGGCTTCTGCGTCCTCAGCCTGAATGTGGGCAGGGAAGCGTGAAGGGCAGTGGAGTGGGAGGAAGGGGCGGCCCGCCAGACGAGGCCGCAGGCATCCTGAGATCCGGCTCCTCCGCCGTCGTGGCGGTGCTGGGGTCTGTTTTCTTGTAGTTCCATTCTTCAGTTTTGAAACTTTGTGGAGGAGGAAAATGGGAATTGACCCCCACCAAAGAAGAATGAAGCAGCCAGGAGGTCGTCGGACAGCTTCAGGAAGGAGCCAAGCCCCAGAGGGGTTGTGTATCCAGAAGTGACCAGGAGAACTGATTGAGTAAGATAGGACTGAGCCGCTGGTGGACTGTCTGTGGATTGGAAGTGTCTGCTGCTGCTGCCTCAACTGGCAGAATCTTTAGTTGGTGCTCAGTGCCTACCTCCAGTGCCTTTTTGGAGGAAATCCCCATCCTCAGCCAGGACCCTGAAATGCTTAGCTACACAAGTACCCGAGATCATGTTCGCTAAAGAAGCCACTTCAAGTTCTCAGAGAGCATTGAATTGGGCCTTTTCTTCTGGTCCTGGCTCTGCCACTGACCGGGCCTCTGATTTCTCATCTGTAAAATGAAAAGGCTAAATTAGATGGGGGGAGGACAAGAGCAGGAAGGGAATAAACATTTATGTAGCACCTCCTATGTGCCAGGCACCCTGCTGGGTGCTTTTTACAAATATGATCTCAGGGCAGCTAGGTGGCGCAGTGGATAGAGCACTGGCCCTGGAGTCAGGAGGACCTGAGTTCAAATCCACCCTCAGACATTTAACACTTACTAGCTGTGTGACTCTGGGCAAGTCACTTAACCGCAATTGCCTCACCAAAAAAAAAGAATGGGGGCTGCTAGTTGGTGCAGTGGATAGAACACTTGCCCTGGGGTCATGAGGATCTGAGTTCAAATGTGGCCTCAGACACATAATACTTACTAGCTGTGTGACCCTGGGCAAGTCACTTAACCCCATTGCCTAGCAAAAAACAAAAACAAATGTGATCTCATTTGATCCTCCCAACAATCCTTTGAGGTAGGTGCTATTATTACCTTCATTTTACAGTTGAGGAAACTGTGGAAAATGGAGGTTTAAGGGACTTGCCCAAGGTCACATAGGTAGTAAAAGTCTGAGGCTAGATCTGAACTCAGGTCTTCCTGATTCCAGGCCTGGATTCTAAGCACTGCAACACTGTCTAAATTTCCCAGATCACTAGAGTCCAGAAATGGGAACTAACTAGGTGGTGACTTAATAATTAAGTTTTAAATGTTAAATCTTTAACTCTTCACTTTAATCTTGTAACCACTTAAAATTTCAACTAGTTTTTTTTTTTTAACATTACTTATGTAATTGTTTTAAAATATAAAATTGTGAGCCTAAAAACTTTCTTAGCTGGTTCTCTTCAGATTTTTAATGGTCAGCCTTTAAAGAACAATAACAGTAGGACTTTTTGTGAGAGAGAGTAGTGGCCCTTTTATTTCTCGGGAACCACAGTCCTGGAGTCCCTTAGGCCCTGGGTTAGAAATCACCCTCATTTTGATAGGGGCTATGAGTGGTAGTGGTCTGAGGAAGACTCCTGCCTTCTGAACATCTGTTCTCTCTGGTGGTCAGCTGAGACCAAAAGAAAGAAACTGAGTAGTGCCTCAATATTTGGTCACAAGCCAGATAATTTCCCATTTTAACTTAGACAGTGTGTTTTGCACATGGCTTGAAGGATTAGAAATTTCCCTTTCTCTTTGCTCACCCAGACTCTTAACTCCATTCAGATTTTAATCATCTTTTGCTGGGACAATTTTTTTATTACAAACCTGACAAACATTAACAAATAATACAAAGAAACTGTGTATGAAACTCTGTATGAAACTGTGAATCACCATTACATAGGTATGACTATTTCTTTTGACTAATATATAATTAAACAGATGTTAAATTTTACATGAGTGTACCTTGCTAGGCTCTGTTCCTCTTCTGAACTTCTCTCTGATCGTTTCTGTGTATTTTAAAATATTTAAATATTTCATTGACAATCTTTTCTTTTTGCATCCATATCCCTCCCTTCCCCAAAATAAGAGCCTTGTCTTATAACAAATAAGTATAACCAAGCAAATTAAATCCATACTTGGTTGCGTTTGAAAATGTCTTATTCTGAAACCACAGTTCTTTACCTCTCTGCCAAAAGGTAGGAGGTCATTGCATTGATCCAGATTCATATGTCTTCCAAACATTCCTTTGTTTCCTTTAACATTGCTTGAACTATTTCAGCAGCTTCTTTTTTTTTTTGTAAATAGTATTTTATTTTTTCCAATTACATGTAAAAGTAGTCTTCAACATTAATTTTTTATGAGATTTTGAGTTTCAGATTTTTCTCCCTCCCTAAGACAGCAAGCAATCTGATATAGGTTATATATGTGCAATCATGTTAAAGATATTTCCACTTTAGTCATGTTGTGAAAGAACAAACAGAACAAAAGGGAAAAACCACACTAAAAAAAACCCCCAAAAGTGAAAATAGTATGCTTTGATCTGCATTCAGATTCCATAGTTCTTTCTTTGGGTGTGGATAGCGTTTTCCATCATGAATCTTTTGGAATTGTCTTAGATCATTGCATTGCTGAGAAGAGCTAAATCTATCATGGTTGATCATTACACAATGTTGCTATCACTGTGTACAATGTTCTGGTTCTGCTCAATTCATTTTGCACCAGTTTATGTAAGTCTTTCCAGGCTTTTCTGAAATCTGCCTGCTCATCATTTCTTATAGCACAGTAGTATTCCAGTATATTTGTATACCACAACTTGTTCAGCCATTCCTCAATTGATGGGCAGCCCCTCAACTTCTAATTCTGGCCACTACAAAAAGATGAATAGCCTCTGTTTAAAAATTAAAAGTTTTATTGCTATTTTTACATTGTTGTCACTTCCCAATGACACTTTCCTGTAAGAACCCTTCCTTATAAAACAGTACAAATAAACCAAACAAATCAACAGAATGCCTCATACCACACCTATAATTGACCGGCTCTCTTCTGAGAGGAGTCATTCAATTTCCAATACCAGCCTTCTGAAGTCTACATTGTTTACTGCATTGGCCAGAGTTCTGATGACTTTCACTCGGACAGAGGTCTCTCCTGCCTCTCCATCTTTTCACTAATCCCTGATGCATATTTCCAATCCATTCTGTCATCATGACACACAAATAAAATGTTGCTTCTCTCCTCAGAAATCTTAAGCAACTCCCCAGATCAAATTCAAAACTCTAGTAAGTGTTCAGAAATGTATTTAAGTGAATAGAACACAAAAATCTGACCAGTGTGCTTTTAACAAGAAAGTACATTCTGAGCATATATTTGCAAGAGGTATTATTAATGAGTTTAAAAACATATATGTGTGTATATGTGGTTGTGTATATATCTCTATACAGAATATTCCATATATAATTATATATAAACATGTATATTTTCAATATTATGTTGTAATATGATATACAAATATATGATACATAGATAAGTACAAATATATAATGATATATAGATAGCCAGATATTTGTTATAAAAGAGATTTCATCATTTAAAAGACATTAAATCATAAAATATTTCACAGTTTTGAAATATTTCAATATTTCACTATTCAGTAGTACTCAGAATTGAATATATTCTTTTCCAAATAATTTAATCTACTTTTGGAAACAGTTTAACAGACCATAAGTATCTATTATCCTTTTTCCAACTTTATCCTGAATCTGTCCCACTCAAGACTTATCATTGTAGTTAATTACTTATCTAGCTAAAGAAAACTGTATGATTTTTCTTAATATATCAAAGTATTAAAGGCACTGGCATTTCCTTTTTCTATGAGAGTTACTTTTATCTTCAGTAGCTTCTTAATAGGTCTTCTTGCTTCTACTTTTAATCCCTCCTATCCAACCTTCACACAGGTGCCCAGTTGATAATTTCTTTTTTTTTCTTCTTTTTTTTCTCTTTTTTGCTAGGCAGTGGGGTTAAGTGACTTGCCCAGGGTCACACAGCTAGTCAGTGTTATGTGTCTGAGGCCAGATTTGAACTTAGGTCCTCCTGACTCCAGGGCTGGTGCTCTATCCACTGCACCACCTAGCTGCCCCTTGATAATTTCTAATACACAGATCTGCTGTATATCATCTAATCTATAATGTCAGATCTAATGTACCAAGGAACTCACCCCTGTACTCTGAAATCTTCATTGGCTCCCTATTGCCTCTGAAATAAAATAAAATCCTCAATTGGAGGATTGAAATCTTCCTACCTTTCCAGTCTGATTTCATATTACTCTACTTTTCAGTTTTTTCCATTTTAGTCAACTGTTCCCTGGATACAACATTCTGTATCCTGCTTCCTGTCGTGTTCTATGTCAGGAACATATTTCTTCTTTCCTTCTGCCTGTTAGAATCGTTAGCTTCAAAACGCAGCTCAGGTGCAGTCTCCTACCTGAAACCCTTCCTGATAGCCCCAGTTATCACTGCTCTTTTCCTCTTAATTACTTTATTATTTTGGATATGCTATATTTCCCCTTACCTCTGTATATATTGAAACTGCTCCTCATAGAGAGGAACTGTTTCAGTTTTGTCTTTGGATCTCCAGTTCTGTGCTTTGCACATAGTAGGTGCTTCACTGATGAATGGAGTTGAGTTGAATGGAAATTTCTGATTGAAATTTTCCACCAATTTTTCATTGAAATTCATCTGTCCTGTGGTATGCATAATTAAGTCACAAATGTCCCAATCTGGACTTGTTACAATAGTTAAACAAAAGAATTAGCTCTGATCTAAAGACAAAAGGCTTTTTATTCTCTCCATATCATTTCACTGAATATGGAGAAACCACTGCCAAAAAATCACCTTTTCTTTACCGCTATCCTTTCAGAATGCGTAGGAATAAAGGAAACCTTTTGTCCTCTGGCACTTTCCTCTAACTGTGGTCACAGGGATCTCTGGATTTTGCGTTTGGTCTCTTTCCCTGCCATTGTTTGTCAAAACAGAATACCATTCAGAGAGAACGGCCCACTAGGCCCAACTCTTGTCACCCAGTTGGTGCTACTCTCTCCTCCCCTTTAGAGCCCACACCTGCTTGTTGAACTCTTGACCAAAAAGATCAGAGAACAAGCAATGCTTCTTAGAATAACCAGTGTGTTTCTGGAGTTTCACTCTTCCCCCTTCTATATTTCTTTGTGTCCCATCAATTAAGCTAATGATTTAATCTGTCTTTGCGTTCTGCAGTAAAACTAGGCAAAAGTATAAAGTTCCTCCTGACTAGCCACATATGCCTTGTCTCTGTTCCTTCATCCCCAGAATGCCAATCAGAAACCTCAACTCTCCCACTTTTTAATTTAAAAAGCTATGGCTAAGTGCAAAGACCTAGGTTCCAGTCTCACTCTATCTCTGTAACCCCAATCAAGTCCCTTAATCTCTTAGTGCCTGACAACTCAGAATCATAGAATTTCAGCATTTGAAAGGAACCTTAATAATTATCTAATCTAAGCCATATTTGAAAAGGAATCCATACTTATAACCTCCCCAGCAAGTGGACATCCAGCTTCTCCTCGAAGACCTCCAATGAGGAATGACTTCACCACCTTCCAAGGTAGCCCATTCCACTTATGAATTGCTCTAGTTGGAATTTTTTTCCCCTGTGTTAAGCCTCACTTTATTATCTCTTTACAATTTC